AAAAAAAAGACAAAAAGGAAAAAAAAAAAAAAAAAAGGAAACGCTCACTGGAGCATTTCAGATTTCAGATTTTCAGATTTGGGATGCTCAACCAGTATAATACAAATATCCCAAGCATTTTGGATAAAGGATACTCACTCAACCTGTACTGATGAACAGATCCCATATGATGACAAATTCAAAAAGGTAAATCTTATGTGACCTCCTAGAAGCCAAACAGCAGGATGGCCTTCCTGTTCATAAAATAATTCTATCAGACATTTTTCCTAGACCTCAACAAAGAATATTTTTAATTAAGTTCAGTTTTACCATTTCCAAATTTAATAATTTCCTTTCTTAAATTTTTCTTTATGGATCTGCTATTGCCAATCTTAGATGATGTGTAATTCTTGAAGCTAGAATCTTTCCCAAACCCAAATACACTCAGTCATTCCCCATTTGTGACAGCATCATTTCTTTTTCATGCCCTCACAGCACCCTAACTAAACCCAGGTTTTTTAGTTTTACCTTTCGAACATTTGCCAACCGATTCATCATCAAAGACTCCTCCCGATCATCATCATCATCCAAATCGAGCATCGGCATGCCAAAGGGGTCAATGATGCTGCAGCACCTGGAGCCTTCATCTCTCGGATCAAAGGGATCCACAATTATGGGCTCAGTTCCTTTTATTTCACAACGACAGAAGGGGCAGCCCTGGCCATCTGACTCCTAAACAAACACAGAAAATGTACTGATTAGCTTTTGTTTAAAACAAACAGTACAGAGAAGTGCCAATGTTCTGCAACTATAAAAAAGATACAAAAAAGAGGTTTTGGGGTAGAAGATGGGGGAAGATTTGTCTTAAAGAGGCAGTGGGAGTAGAACATGGATCCAATAAAATATACAATAAATGTTCAGTATTTCAAATTTCACAAAAAGAAAACTTCCTTAAAAAAAAAAGTTTGATTTGCCAAAGAAAAGGAGCCTAACTCTTTATTTTCCTGAATGTTCACTTATAATTCTGATATATCAAGCCTTTAGAGTTCTGCAGAAGACAGGAAATTGAACCATGTTGCTCTTTATGAAAAAATAACAGTGCTAATTAAATATTCCACAAAATTGCATTTTAGTTTAGATTCATAAAAAATAAAGTAGTATCAATAAGAACAATTCATTTCAAAATCCATTTTGGAAAAGTTCCTGTGCATATAACTATGGCTTAAATATTTCCATTTTAATTGTCTAGGTTTATAATAATCATCATTTATAAGCAATTAGTAGAGGAGACAAAAAGTAAATTTATATTCAGAAACCATCATCCATCTTGAAAGCCTATCATTCTGATGCAGGTCATTTGGAATACAATATTCTGGGAGATATTAAGTTTCACCCCCAATCTTGCCTTCACACTAGATATTGCAAAAAGATTTGTGCAAATACTTTTGAGCTGGAAATGCATTTACTGGTAATTATTGGAAATTTTGTTCAAAGTCTCCAAAATTCATTTCTCAAAACTAGCTACATTAAGAATTCACAATTGGCAGGGTAATAGGACAAGATTGTTTTCTAACTCTGCAGATCACATTGCTTTCTAGAGATAGATGGCATACAATATTTGCCACCCTATTTTTGTTTTTGCATTATACCCTGACTTTAGTCTTCTATAATGACTATTAAAAAATAGTCAAAATCATAAAACCATTTTAAGGGATAAATGAAATGAATTAGTACCATTTTACTGAAGAGAGAAAGGACACAGAGAGATAATATCTTTAAAGAAGCCATTCAGTACTTAACTCAGGACTGCCTCATCCATTTGGTTTAATGGGAAGTTAGTGATCTACCTGCCCCCACAGTGATGCTTTGACCAGTGATGGAATAATTCGCTCTCCTCTCACTGGACAACTACTGAGCATACACTTCGTGGCAGATCCTGTAGCAGCGAGCTTATTCTGAGCTTCATCTCCTTTGCCACACATTGTCAAGATGCAGGTCATTTGGAATACAATATTCTGGGAGATATTAAGTTTCACCCCCAATCTTGCCTTCACACTAGATATTGCAAAAAGATTTGTGCAAATACTTTTGAGCTGGAAATGCATTTACTGGTAATTATTGGAAATTTTGTTCAAAGTCTCCAAAATTCATTTCTCAAAACTAGCTACATTAAGAATTCACAATTGGCAGGGTAATAGGACAAGATTGTTTTCTAACTCTGCAGATCACATTGCTTTCTAGAGATAGATGGCATACAATATTTGCCACCCTATTTTTGTTTTTGCATTATACCCTGACTTTAGTCTTCTATAATGACTATTAAAAAATAGTCAAAATCATAAAACCATTTTAAGGGATAAATGAAATGAATTAGTACCATTTTACTGAAGAGAGAAAGGACACAGAGAGATAATATCTTTAAAGAAGCCATTCAGTACTTAACTCAGGACTGCCTCATCCATTTGGTTTAATGGGAAGTTAGTGATCTACCTGCCCCCACAGTGATGCTTTGACCAGTGATGGAATAATTCGCTCTCCTCTCACTGGACAACTACTGAGCATACACTTCGTGGCAGATCCTGTAGCAGCGAGCTTATTCTGAGCTTCATCTCCTTTGCCACACATTGTCAAAAAAAGAAAAACAAACTCTTTGGATTGATTAATAAAAAGGAACTGCAATATTCTTACATTCACGTACTTTTACATAACTTGGGAAAGAAACGTGGAAAGGTAAAATAGTTGAACTAAGGTGGTATAAAGAAATACAGACATGTCTATATAGAATCTTTTGGTGCCTACTACCACACATACTCAGGTCTTGTGAGCTTCAAAGCATCTTAAATATGTTTTTTGCTCCATTATTTTATTATTTATAAAACTTGAGATTCAATTCTACTTTAGACAACCTCCTCACATTGACATTTTATAACATGGTGCGCTCACAGTGCTCACTGGCTGAGCGTGGTGTGGCCGGTCTCAAAAAGGACCAAAAAATAGCTGAGCGTGGTGTGGCCGGTCTCAAAAAGGACCAAAAAAAAAAAAAAAGAAAGCAACACTCTGAGTCCCAGCTGGACACTTCATTCACTCATACATTTAAAAACATATATTACAGAAAATTTCAAACACATATAAAATTAGAAAAATATAATGAATTTCTAAGTATCCATCACCAACTTCAACAATTATCAATTCACACTGAATCTAGTTTCATGTATATCTTCCCTTCGCTCTTGGATTATTTTGGATCACATCCTACATATCAAATAAATTCATCCACATATATTTTAGTATATATAAATAAAAACAGAAAGTCTTGTAAAGACCTAACTACAATGCAATTGTCAAAACTAGATCACATCCTACATATCAAATAAATTCATCCACATATATTTTACTATATATAAATAAAAACAGAAAGTCTTGTAAAGACCTAACTACAATGCAATTGTCAAAACTAAAAAGTATTCCACTCAACCATGAAAGTCATATTTTTTTGAATCTGGTGCCTAGAATGTGTAAGCTACTCTCTTAGGATACAGAGGTTTCTCTCAGAACTTCCATGGTCAATTTACATGTTGCTTGGTTAAGAATGACTTCTGTGTGGTCTATTTCCACATAAGGGATAACTGAAAAGGTTGGGTTTGGAAGGGGAGATGAAAGGCAACAACAGTGTCTTGATAGAACAAGAAAAAAGACTAAAAACACTTCATCTAAAACTGAATTAGGTTTTCTCTATCTCATCTACCTGAAAGTTTAATGGTATACAAATTACTGATGTGTATTAGAGAAGCTGTTTTAAGAGTATATTTTCTGTCCAGCTTTATATATTGTTAAGCATTTACATTACTCACTAACTCAACAAAACAGCTACAATGAACATCCAACTTATTTGCAAAAACAGATCACACTGAATATGTCTCCTTAATGCTACTTACTCTAATATGACTTCTTCCATCATCCTTTATAAAGGGACTACTGTCATATGCAAATTAAGCTTAACTATAAATTTTCAGATGCCACTTTGGTTACTCTGCCCTAGTTTCTGTCAGATGGTTGAATACACATGAAAAATGTCTTTCACAGACATATAACTCATCACAATTGTGCCTCAATAATTAAAATAATGCTTCTGTCAACATATATTTAATGCAAGATCAGAGAATATGTCTTAATGTAGAAGACAAACGAATAAATAACTGCTTAATAAAGTCCTCAACATATTCACATTCTGTGAATGTTAAGAGGCAGTACTTAGAACTCCACTGGTTCTAATTGACTCAGTAGATCTCACTTCCTTGAATAAGAAATACTTCCAAATCAAAGAATACTGCACACATCTGAAATTTAACTATGTTATATGCTTATGATAAAATAATTTAGTATTACATTTCAACCATTAATACCATGAGTAAATGATATTATATGTAACTTTAGAAAACTTCTGAATAAATTAGCATTGATTGAAACATAGAAAACAAATTTTTAAACCTTCAAAAAACAAGTAACCCATTTTCCACAAAAATTCTATGTAAAAATCCAAAAAATATTGTCAGTACTATCTCATCATCACCATAATCATCATGCATCAGAGTCACATTCCGTATTCTATTTAAATATTGTTTAGATGAACATATTATAGCTTAAATCCTTTTTAAAAAAATTTTTTAAGGTAAACATTTTATGTAGTACAATTTATTTGCTTTTAGAATGATTAATTATTAAAGACACACTTTGAATTAAGATCAAATCACTTTATTCCTCCCCAAATATACAATATAGAACCTACATGAAAGGCCCTAGGGAATACACAGGATTTCATAAGTCTCATTTTGGAGTGCATTTTATAGTTTTACTGTGTGTGTGTGTGTGTGTGTGTGTGTATTTTTCCTTACCAGTAACTTTTAATTTAACTTAACTTGCTGTATTTCATGTAACTTTGAAGTTACCATAATTTTTTTAAAAAGATGGCAATTATGGGCCAGCCCGGTGGCGCACTGGATAGTGCGCCGCTTGGGAAGCATGGCGGCGCTCCCGCCCGAGGGTTCG